AGATACCGAATTTTTATACCCAACACGGCTTCGACATTTGAACTCGTAAAGTGAACTTGCAAAGTCAATCAGATTCTCATCGACGCACACACATTCTAATCCCATCCTAGCTCTCGCAATTCTTCTTAAAGCCACCCTTATGAGCTTATGACATCGTGTAGATGGACGACAATTTGTGTGATTTTATTAGACTAAATTTGTTCACCAGTGTTCGAGTAAACCGTAAACGTGTCGGATTTGGGTTAATTTTAGTAGTTTCTTTCACCCATCAATTTATTTTTTTTCTATGTTCCGTCATCATTTTTATATCTTGTAAGGTGTTCTGCTTCTTCTTCCCTCTTCTGCTACTTGTATTAATATTTTTCTTTTGTTTTATTTTTTCTTCGTGTATTTTTCTTGTTACTCGCTTTGATTTCTCATTAGGTGTCCACATCAATTTATTTGTCTTTCTGTTATGTTGTTCATTTCTTGCTTCTGGTTTGATTATTTCTCTAATTTATTTGACTTTTGTTCTCTTTGTTAACTCTAATTCTAATACTATATATATTTCCAATTCTATATGTTTGCTTAGGTATAGGCATTATAATGTTTAAGCAGTTTGCGTCATTTATACCTACCCGGTCAAGTTTTTTCATTCCTTTGTTTTCACTCCTCTACTGGGTCCTCACTTTGGTGAATCAATGTTTGTTATTTCTATTTGACAATAGTCTATGCTTCTCTTGTTTCTCCTAAAGCTATTAAAAATCTATAAAATAGTATGACAGTTGAAACTACATGGGTACCTACCCTACTTATTTCGATTCGAAATATTTATTTCTGAGGTTTTTAAAGGTATAACTATTATTAAGTACCTACACTATTTAATATTCTACATCGTTTATTTTAGTCAAAAAAACAGATTTTTACAAATGTTTACATTTTATTATATACCCTCCCATGTGTCCTCAGTTTGGTGGTTTACGTACGCCATTATTCACTGCATTTCTCAGTTCTAAACGGAAGCAGTTCATGAATTTGAATTCATCATACCCGGTAGCTCCTTTTCTTTGATACCAACACCAACAGTTCCTAAAAGAAGTCAACAATCCACTTCAAATCGTACAAGAGTTAAACATAAATCGATTGATCCCGAGAGACGTTTTTTGTATAGCCACATCGGTCACTTGCAATTTGTTGCTTTACTTTCCTGACTTGACGTTTTCTATTATGTTGTGACACTTTTGAGAAACATCGAGGAATGTAACAAAAATTATAATGCCGTGCTTCAATTGTATGGTTATTTGAATTTTTGATTTATTCTGTAGCTCTGTAAAAGATAACTGAATAAACGTTTATTTGAGAGTTTGACAAGATGTTTGAAAAATTGTTTTTTTATTTTAATACAAATCATATCATTTATACAGGGTGTTCCGTAATGATGTTCCAATATTTTAACAGGGTGCTATACCATTCATTTAATGGGGGGGGGGGTTCTTATAAAATTTAGCATTTGGGTCTTCTTTGTCGAGATACGTATTCAAGTATTGCAGTACCCAAATAGTTTATAAAAATGTTAAGAGCAATTATTTTTATTTTTTTGTACGCAAACTATTGAACATAAGATAAAATTAAAGAAGTAAAAAAGTTTCTAAATTGTGCGTATTATTGAAAATTACAAGTCTAACTGTTTTCAAAAAGAAAAAAGTTAAAATTGATTTTTTAGTCATGTTGGGACTCAACAGAAGACTTATTTAAGTCTCAACACAGAGACCTAAATTGCAAAACCCCCCTTAAATTGTTGATAGTACACCCTGTTAAAATATTGAAAACATCAGTACGGAACACTCTGTATACCGGTTAACAAAACAACTGACACTCATACGATTTTTAAGATATAAAATGGTTTTTAAGCTTGGTATCAAACACTAATTAAATTTAATAAAAATTAGTTCATTAATCAGAGGATTTTGACTTAGGGTGGAATAGAGTAACCCAGATTGACGAGGTTATTTATTAGCGGCCCGTCTCAAGGATGTTTAATTATAAATGAAGAACATGACATGTGATAACACCAGTGGCGGCTTGTGGCCTAGTCTGCGGGAGAACTACTTTTGAAAGGCACTTAAGATTTATAAAATATATCAAGACTTACCAAAACACTTTAGGTGAGTCGATAGGTAGTATTCCTCTAATTTAGCACACTTTTTATTTATCCCAACCCAAGTACTTGTGTTCTACCACGTTTTCCAAACTTGTCGATGTTCTGTACCTACCTAATAGTTTTGTTACATTTATCTTATAATTCAATAAAATATTTGTCTAATTCATTAAAACACATATCCTCTTATTCTTATTATACCTACACAGTGAAAACTAAACTTCGCCTTTTCATCATTTTTAAATACGTTTTTCCTCGCATAAATGATTGTTTTTGTATATTTTGCTTTTTAAGTGATGTTATTATTATTATTACTTGCCTTGAAAATTTTCTTGTGTATACACCTGTTGAACTTTTATCTGCATGAGTACGTTTTAGATAGGCCTTTCCAAAGATTCATTATGACATTTTTCAAAATATTTTATAACGCTATACGGCTGCAGGCAGAGCGTTTATTTATATGCTCTACTATCGGGGAAGTCCATATTGCTTTCGGGAAATCCCTTAACTCGATTATGCTACACATAAAGATTGCCGTGTTGTTAGGCAATTCTATATACATAGGTGTTTTAATAGTAGTATAATATTGCCGTAAATACAATAATTTTTTTTTAATATAGAAAATTTATTTAATTTTAAATTATTTAATACTTTCATGCATTAGGTAATAGTATTATAAGATATATGTCCATTTTGCAGAATACTGAATAAGCCGAAAATTATCCGATTATACACGAAATTATCCGAAAATCGGATAATGATCTGGACATTGGCAATACTGACAATATAATGTCTACACTATACACAAGGTCTACACAGAAGCAAAGCGGGGAAATTTTCGTAGCCCTCTTGCATTTAAAAATTTCATATCTGAGACCTACGAGCACGAGCGAAGTCTCCCGGTTTGACCGCTCGAATATGTGAATTGAGGGCGCTACAACTTTTAGCCCAACCAGCCAGCTACATCAGCTAAAGGCAAAAGATACTGAACGCCAAATTATAAATAGTATGGGTAGATAACATAATATATTTTCATTTTATATTTGTATAAATTGGTTACCCCTTGTGCTGGGGGCCTATAGCCCCACCCCACAGTCCTTACAGACAGTAGAGAAAATTAATGTATAATATCAGTTGAAATAAGAAGTGTATAAATCTAATAAGGACAATGTAAAAAAAACACAACAAAGGGTATATATTTGAAAACTAGAAAATTTAAATACACTAGAGACAAATATATTTCCATACTGCTAGATTCAAATTAACGAACGCTATTTATGTGGTAAGTATATCTAGAGAAGAGAGTAATAACCAAGCTATTCTTAATGACAAAGAAAGTTAGAAATATGCATGGACAAATTCGCTAAAGAATTTATAAACCTACATCAAGGAAATATAATATGCTAAAACGTCAGATGGGTATAGGATTGGAATTTTGTTTTATACCATAGACTGTAACGTGATACTTGATATACTATTTGTTATAATGTGTTTAAGCTCAATTGATTGGTCGTGGGTTAGGTTATTAAATAACTCGAATAACTTTAAAAAAGAAGTTGGGCACCACTATATTTAAAACTTACTATACTTGACTTTAGATTAGTGATAAAAATATAGAAAATCACTAACCACTAACAAATTATATTTAAACCAAGTTTTAGATAAGGTAGTAGCAAATTCTAATTCACATAGTTTTACTAAATTCAAATTTAAGATGATTTATTTGAAAGCACTTATCTTTTGTTAACAGGAGGTAGTAATATAAGGAATGTTATTGCATGGTATTCTTCAGGCCTTCTTCGGGATCCTTATTCGTAATTCTGCGACTTGAACGATCTCTTGGTATTTGGTATTCTAACTTAACTCGAAACGTGTAGATCTTCTAAAGATGAACCAAACCACGGTCTTCAGATTGTACCAAACTTCTAGGTATAAAAACCATAAAACTTCTAGATATAAATTCACATAAACTGTCTTAAAAGGAATTCAAAACTTCTAGATATAAATCGACATAAACTGTCTAGATATAGATCCAAATAAACCGTCTAGATATAGCCATGCTAAAAAGAAAAGGTAAAAATGTTAAGAAAGGAAATAGGAAATTTGAACAGGATTTAGATAAAATGCTTTAACGATTAAATGGACAATTTAAAACTATTAAATGAATAATTTCACAGAGACTAAAATTAATATGAGAAGGAAAATTCTTATTTAACATATTTAAACATAGTAAAGCATAATATTTCATTCCAAACAAAATAATATATAAAATTATATACAACGTGTTATCCATTGTTGATGTTATGTTCAAAATTTGACATTTTATATAAGAAATTCTTGTACAAAATATATATTTTCAACAATATATCGGTATTAAAACTTACCTTATAAAATCAGACGGAATTTACGATAGATAAAAATTATTTAGTACATCAGACGACCAAGATATATTAAAATTCAAATCAACTTGATTCGTTGACAAATTCAAATCTAATGAAATACGAAGTTTTAACACAAGGCATAAACGACAAATGACATTTGAGTAGAGGTGATTGTGTTGAAATAACGAAAAACGGTTCCGACCGTTACAATTATAATATATTATAATGTAAACCTTCACTCTGTCATACTGAGCTTGGAAAATTAACGAAAGTGTCTTCAGGAATATCCTTGAGAGTAAAAAGTTTACAGTTAGTGACTCAGTTCTGCACGGCACTTTTATGGGTTTCACATTTTATGATATTTAACTAGTTTTTCATTATTTTCGTTCAAATTTAACACTTTGTTAGGTTTTGTAATTGTTGTATTAACTAAAATGTAATATAATGAGATAAGATACATACTTAACGTTATTTCCTTACAGGACAAGGACGTGTCAATCAACTTGGAGGCGTCTTTATAAATGGTAGGCCTCTTCCAAACCACATAAGACTGAAAATCGTAGAGATGGCAGCTGCAGGGGTACGTCCCTGTGTCATATCAAGGCAGCTAAGGGTGTCACATGGTTGCGTTAGCAAGATCTTGAACAGATATCAGGTAAATTACTGTTTGAAATAAAATTTCTATTTGTAACCTGCTAATATTATAAGTAGTTTTTTAATATGTATTATATTACAGCTAATCTAAATTGATCAAACATAATTTTTTAACCTAAGAAATAACCCATTAGCTTTTCTCAGGTACTGTTTTCTTGGTTTGCTTTATTCATTATTTGTGCCAACTCATAGTATTTCACTGTACTCTGCTTTTCAAACAATTTTACTTTTAACTCACACAAAATCTGAGGGTTTTGTCCTCTTCAGTCTTGATATTTGTATGACATGTTTTTTTGCATATCTTTGGATTTCTTCTTTAACGTTTTCTATCTTGAGGTTTCTGTGTAAAGCTGTATTCCGAATGTCCATACTGGTTTTAAGAATTGCTTGAATAAGAGCAATGTTTTATGTACTGTGCCATCTTCTACACATTGCTTTTAAAAAGCCTGTGTGTTAGCAAACGTCTGCGCAATTTCAAGGAACAAGGTAAAGCAAGACTTCTTTCTCTTAATAGACGTTTTCTATTAAATCTGTAATTCTGCAGGCTTGATCTATTGTGGAATGTTTTGTATTATGAATTTGAATTAGGATCACTGTAAGCTTCTTTAATAGCAGCTTCTTAAATAGTTTTGATATCACTCGTAAATATAAATCCCAAATCTACTGATTTTTCCTATAAATAGCGCTTCAGGACCATCTTTATGGGCACTTATGCCGATGGCCGTTTGATACCGTATACATATATTTTTTAGATTTTTCAGGCTATAAAGGTTTATTGCTTGGATTTCGACTTGAAAAGTGACAGAAAGAACTTTGGATATCATACAGTTAGGCCCATAAGTGCCTCCTCCAATTGCTTTATCAAATTTTGAGAGATAATCTGCAAATTATGATGGCCCTTTGTTACTATGTGTAGTGTTGTATGGACTCCAAATTATTCCTGCGTTTTCATACAAGGGGCCAAGGAATGGCCCTTGAGGGATCTCTGATGATGCAGAGTATTCGCCATAGTTAAACTCTTTGATAAACACGCATTGCTTCCTCTTTTGAAGATAGGAGACAAACGTTTCCAAGCAATATTCTATGGTCAAGTCTGTCGAAAACCTTAAAAAAGTCTTACATCAATTTACAAGCGGTTATCAATTGTTTCTAGATTACATTATCTATCTAGCTTTGGATTTTCACTAGACTTGGAAGTCTTGACACAGAATATAGATTGATGTTTCCTCTTATTCGCGGAATCTGTATATTGCTGCTTCTTCTGATCGATTGAGGAAACTCTAGTATCGCCACGAAACCTAAGCAAATAAGTTACAAAAAAATACGCGAATATTGCATAAAGTCTCGATGTAGATAAAAACCTTTTTGATCGCGAAAATAAATTGAAAAATCGATGTCAAATAAAAATTAAAAATCGTGCAACTCCTACGTACGCTATTCTCAGTTGCCAAATGCACAGGTGTTTTTTCAATGGTATAAAAAAAAGATTAAAATCATAAAACGCATTTTTATGTGGCGTTACAAACGAACACTTGTAGGTATATGCGATAAGTATCAATACCACATCAGAATTTTTACGACTGTAGTTGTTGATAAAATAATAATTAGGAAAATTTACGGAGCCCGTCATGGGACCCTTGGGTTGTGATGCCCATTAAAATCGGAAATGGAATTATGACAATTCCTCGAAATCTCAAAATGGAATTCTCGGTCCTTACGGGAGAAAATTGCAGTAAGGGGAGATCGGGAATTTTAATAAGAAATTGCTAGGAAAAGTCGTAAAATTGTCACAAATAGGGTTAAAAGAAGGATATAAATGTATTTAAATAATAATATGACGAATATACAACTATCCATTGTGATTTAAAAGATAAATTGAAAAAAGTGAAGAAAGGCCTTTGATGATATCATTTATAAACTGTGAAACATAGAGGTCCTAGTATGGATTCCTGGGGTACTCCTGAAATATTTGTAAATGTATTCAACACTTGCCAATGAGACGTCACATAATCGGTAAAATGCAAAGATTGGTAACCGTTGATGGTTTGGGAAGAGAAAAGAGTAAAATGGATTTTTTTGTTATATATAAAAGTTTTATGGTTATTTAAGTGTAAAACCACAAGATCATTATTTTTATTTCACTTTAGCATTATTTTTCATATTTGTTTCTATATAGGATAACATTTTTGTAAATGTTTAAACATTTTTTTACAGAAACATTTTATAGTTTATAAATTTAAATGTCTCGCCATAATTTGGGATTTTTCAAATTAGGTGTTAGTATATTTTTATAAAATCTTTTAACAGCTGGTTATTCGGTACATTTTTTTTTTAAATTCGGTACGTTTTAAGATTTTTGTTAGCAGAATATGTCATTTTCATTCTGGCAGCCCAGTTTGCGTTGAATAAATCATAGTGTTTTTAATGTATTCATCCGTAGACACATTGATTAGCGAACCTCCAACATAAGAGAACAAAAATTTATTACTTTTATTAGTGTCGTTTTTTTGAAGCGGTCTTATCTCCACTAGATGTGCAATAATAAATTAACATGTATGCATATAAAACTAAAAAAAGCGTTCATTAAAATAGAAAATGAAAGGATGTAGAAAAATTAAATTAACATTTGAACATATAAAACTCTAAAAATCATTTATTACAAGAGAAAATGATGGGCTATAGCACGAAAATTAGTCTTTAAGTGAAATGGGTGCTGTAAAATATTGCGAAGACTTTTCAGACCAGGTGTGGGGAAGGTATCTATGAACATGAAGACAATGCTATCCTCAAAGTTTAACAGCTAGAGCAAGAATAGCATTATTAATATTTTATTGTAGAACCATTGGCTGCCATAACACTTTCCAATCTTCTTTGTATGGACAAAATTAAATATCGCATATCGTAGGAATCTACAATCTCTTCCCAAGCTGCAATTTCAATAACATCTCATAGTTGATCGAGGTTTGCTCCATACATTTTCAATGAGGTTCAAGTCGGGACTGGTCATGGCAAAACATTTATGTTTTTCTTGTTGCCAAAGTATCTTTATTATTCGAACCTATGGACTGAAGAATTTCTTACATGATGAAATGTAAAATTGCCAGGTAAAACTTATCTTAATGTTGGTAACATCACGTTGTCTAAGACCTTCCCTACATCTTGTTTGAAAGGTCTTAGCAATCTGTGTTCTTCTTGTACGCGTTTTTTAACGTAGAATTAGCATATTCGCTGAAGTTAGAGAAGAACCAGGACCACAATCACCAACAGAAACGGTAAAAGGTAGAAGCTTGATAGGATCCTTTAGAAGACGCTTATGAATCAGACTCTTCGTTTATGTAGTTCTGTCATCGTTTATTTAAGAATTAAATATTGATTTTCATGCTTCAATTTATATAAACAACCATATAACAAATACCAATAATATCTACATTTAAATCAAAATTTGTTAAATATGTAAATTTATTTCCAAATTTGGAAAGGTTTTCGTTTGATTTCCCACAAATTTTAATTTTAGAACTTGGTCGGTTTTTGCACCAACTTCTACTGGAAAATGTAACGAGGAATAAACTAAGATATCCAGATTCGATCCCTGGCTTAGACACATTTTCTCTTTTCTCTTCAGCTTTTTCAATATTTCTTTTGTTTGTTTTCACTTTGAGATTGTGGGGATGAATTCCTAAATTTCGTAAGGGGAATTGGGGTTTTCAATCCAAATTATTCTTTTTGGTCCAGTAATACTATATTAAAAATTATGGGCGTCAAGTTATCTATGCATAACTCCTAAGCATGAGTCTAGGAATAAAACAGAAAACAATTTTTGACATTATCCTTCTTCTTTTTTCAGGAAACTGGATCTATTCGACCCGGGGTCATCGGTGGTTCCAAACCGCGCGTAGCAACGCCTGAAGTTGAAACTCGGATTGAACAATACAAGAGAGACAATCCGTCGATTTTCAGTTGGGAAATTAGAGACAGATTAATCAAGGAAGGTATTTGCGATCGAAGCAGTGCTCCCAGTGTATCCGCCATTTCTAGACTTCTCAGAGGCAAAGGAGGAGAATACGATGGAGATGGTAAGTTAGTTTATGATAAGATTCATTTTTATATTAATTTCAAAAAGATGGTTTTGTAGTTTTAACACAATAACATGTCTTCCATAGGATTTGAGAATCAAATGCAAATCATATTTTATTTTAATGTATACTTAAATCTGTCAAATTCAAGTATAATTAATAATTATTTTTACAATTATTACGTTCTTTAATAAATACATTTAGTGCGTTTAGCCCCTAGCCCAACCTTATTTAGTTAAAAGTTGGACGGCAATTAAGTTAATATTGAAACTAGGTATAAAATATTGGACATATACTTTTGGACAGACTCAGAAATTGTTTTAAACTGAATATATTCTTCAAATCATCGTCTGAAGTCATTTGAGCTTAACAGGATTCAAAGAAATGTTAGAATTAACGGAAATAGGGAATTATTGAAATTCGTCGAAAGAAAATCCCGTAGATTTGGCTACAAAAGATAGATGACGCGATAAAACCTTAGAATCAAATATGTATATGGATTCACGGTCCGTGGTTTTGTAAAAATAAGAAATGCTGCATAGAAGAAAAACTATGTAAGTTTTCTGTAAATGTAATAGTCATATTGGAAAATAATATTTCTCTGAAGAGTTGCTTACGTCCTGATCCTCCAATAAGTGGTATCTTTTTCTACGTTCTACTACTTGCGTAGATACTTAGATTTTTGATGTATTTAAGAGAACGGAAAAATGATGCAGAATTATGAGCAAAAGTGTATCAGAAAATGGAAGAGGTAATAATATGTAAATACATTCAAAATAAAACCTTGGGTTAAGAAATAGAGTGTCTCAAAAAGAAAGAAAAGATTGGTTCTTCTCTGTTGAAATTGTCCCCATTCTTAGATGATGCAGAAGTTCTTAGAATGAATAGCAGGATAATCTACGCTGATATTCAATTTATAAACCGTATCACTCCAATACTTAAAACCTATCCTCTTTACTCAACAATTACTACAGTCTATTCGCTATACTTACGCGGGTTTCGGATTAACAAAATTATGCAAATTAGTCATTGACAACCAGTTCCAATAAGCCTCTTCCCAAGAAATTAGGTAAAATTGTCCTAATGGACAGATTTAAATTAAAATAACATTAGGGTAGGTACTAAATTTGTTACAAATATTGCAGTTGAATTGATTCTTTGCAAGTGTTGACATTGTATGTATATTGTAAATTTAGTGGAAATTTTAATAATGCCTAGACGTGTGATAGATGTAGATAGTCTAATTTGTAGTGTACATAAGTATTTTACGGATTAAAAAGAAAATGGCGGTCCTTTAAAATCAGTAATTTCTGTACAACAACGCGTATGCGATGCTCTAGGAATTAGTGAAATTAAGAAGAGTATTACAAAATCACAATAGTGAACTGCCGAAAGAAGATCACCTCAAAACTCGCCCATCATTGAAAACGAAAGATATTCCAGATGGAAAGAAATTTGAAATTCGTGATACCATTTATCGAATGAGGGCCAACAAGGAACATGTGGCCTTAAATAGATAGATAGAAAATTTGACGACATTGGCAGAACAAGTCTATGGCAAGTGATACATAACTTGGGTTTCAAATTTCAAAAGGAGGTTAACAAAAAGGCCCTTTGTGATAGAAGTTCTGTCGTGCACAAGATAATTTACTTTCTAAGAAAATATTCTAAATTTAAAGAATAAGGGGCGAATTTTATATATTTAGACGAAACATGGATATTTTCTAGGGGTGCAACCAAGAGAATATGGCAAGATGATAACGTAAAGTCCATAAAACAAACCGATGGAGAAGGGAAGCGACACATAATTTTACATGCAGGAGGGAAATCGGGTTTTATAGAAGGTGCTGATTTAAAATGGTTGCATAAAAAATTTCTCCAGGTTTAAGTGAGCCCAGCGTAATTATTTTAGACAATGCACCTTACCATTCTGAAGTATTAAACAAAAGTCCAACGAATTCTTGGACTGTTGATAAAATTAAAGAATGGTTGACAAAGGAACATATACCATTTCCTCAATATATTAAAACCTTTGTTGTGGATCAGATTATTGAAAGTTACGGTTATCAAGTTTTACGTCTGCCACCGTATCATTGCCAGTTTAATCCCATCGAATATATATGGGGAATAGCAAAACAATATTATGACAACCATATTGGGCCTAATGGTTATAATGACGACGCAGTTCGAGAAACTTGGCGAAAAGCACTTTCAATTGCAACTCCAGAAGTGTGGCGGAACTGTATATCCAAGTGCGAGAAACTAATAGAAGATTGGTGGACTCGTGAAAATAAAATAAACGAAATAAGTCCAATCATAATAACAATTAATGCTGATGACAGTGATGATGATGACGATTGTGATATTTTGGATGATAAGATGATATAATGACTGATTTTCATTTTTGTTGGCAAGTTCAATTTTTTTATTTTTCATTTGAAATTCTCTACATGGAACAAATTTTTATTTGAGCTAAATAACCCTCTTATTATACATAGACCATATTTTCTGTGTGAAGTGTAATATAAAATTATTATTAGGTTTATAATAGCCACATTAGACTCCATTAATGAAGAAGTTTAATTCTGCTCTCAATTATACAAAAGATTCTCCATTATTATTTAATTAAAAAGTTGTACATTATTTTTCATTTCCTTTAACCAGTTGATATTTCCCCAAAAAACAGGTCAAACTTTCGGGTACTTACCTGGAAATACTCATAAAATTTTTAATCCGAAGCCCGAGTAAGTATAGCGAACAGACTTTACATAATGTGATTGTTAAACTCATTCAAAATCATTCTTTCGTTAGCTTTTATATCAACAAAAACTTATTAATTTTTACTCGAAGGTCGGTCCCTCGATATGACTATGATCGATCCAGTACCAATGCTGTTCTAAAAATAGGTAGCCAAAAAAAGTTCGTAGCAATTTGTTACGTCATTCCGGGACTATTAAGAGAGTTCTTTTAAAGTTGCCGCGCTGTGTAATCTGACACCTTTTTTTTGAGTCACACCGATACAACACTACTTTCGTTCAATATCCATCGGTAATTAAAAAACTAAATAGTTTTTCTATTATTGCATCTGCAACTTTGACGTTTGTTGAAAAATCGTTGGAGACACGCATTTTGTTTGATTTATGGTGTGTAAGAGAAAGATGCCTGATTTATTTGTGGTAATAATGCAATTAATTTTTTAAAAGTATATAGTTAAGGATTTTGTTGGTATTGAATCGAAAACAGAAAAACCGACTGAACTGTTTAATGGGGTTCTCGGATAATGAATAGAAAGATTAAAACTTTTCGCTGATATTTTAAATTATTTTTCACTAGATGCAAACAATTCAAAAACCATTTAAATGGAAAATTGAAAATACACAATCCAGGGATTTTTTGATTTTCGTAATTTAAGTTTATACTTATTATGTTACATAAATATATTAATAAGCAATCCTGGCAACCGAGGTTGTCAGTTAGATATAGGTAGGTGGGATGAGCTTAACCTTTGCCTCCTAGTAAGGTTGACATGTATATGTTGATAGAAAGAGTTAGTATTTAGTGCATGCAAGGCACTACAGTCATTACTATTGGAGATATTAGATCATCACCAGTTATTTTAAATGACAACACCATTTTTGCTAGTATAATTAAAGGAGTTTGCATAGTAGTGCCATGCCTAATTTCGTTATAAGATATAACAATATTTCTGAGGTAAACCTTTTTTAGGAGGTATTCATAATGTAATATCTAAAAAATTGTTTATACTGAAAATTTTTGGTTGTAATTATAACACAAAATTTAGCATCTGTACGCAAAATAATGTGCTCTTTAGACGCTAAATTTTGTGGTATAGGATTTTTTAGCATTTATTTATATTGTTACAAATGTCGATTAGCATTTTGCAAGAATTTTTTTTTCTTGAAAATATTGTAATGTAACATACCACTAAATATGACGACCATACGTATAAAAAATGTGTTCTCCTAATTGGTAGGGACCCGTAGGGACTCTCAAAAACTCGTGATTACGTCATTTCTCGAATATTGATGACATTAGCTACACAATTGTTTATTAATTATGAAAGTTCGGTAAATTTTTAAAAAATTTAAAAAAATTTATAACTTACGATTTTACGGCTAAAAACATAAAAATCTAGTACAGATGAGAACACTAACTTAGTCATCCACTAGTTATGTAAATATGAAAAGATCTACTGAATAGTAGGTATTATTAAGATATAGCTCATCATAACCAGGACGTACATAATACGCTTTATTAGCTTCGCTCGCAAGATCGCTCGGTCATAATCGTAGACGCATCCATTAATGCATTATCATACTAACGACATAAATAGCTATTATTTCACTTTGCTGGATTCATATTGTAGGTAATATTTTAGTTTTAATATATTTGCTATTCAGAAAGACCTTCATAAATCGAATCAGAATCGGCATGGAGACAAACTTAACCAAAATCATATTTCCACTTCAGCTTATATTTATTTTAAATTAGTCAAAACAATTCCGAACAAAAGTGTTATTATCGGAGGTCTAGAAAAAGAATGGACCCCACCTGCGGCCTACCTGTCGGCCCGCAACACCATAAAAGACCTAATAAATCATTTTCTTTGCACCTACCGAGGCTCTACTTATGTATAATTACGTTAACAACACAACACGAAATGCATTTTCTATTGAATTATGCCGTTTTAATTCGAAAAACCTAAAAATTCCACAAAAAGTTATTAATAAATGTCAAAATGTCATGCGTTCGGTTGCGGACAACGCTGAAACTGATCTAGATAATAACACCGTGAATAATTATTCGTCGGCTGTTACCGCTATACAAGAACGCGGGATTCTTATTGCTTTATCAAATTTATGATGTTTTTTTTTGTTGTAAAAAATGGTCTAGATCACTTCAAACCCTTGACAGGCGCTTCCGGTGATCTATACGCTTTGCTATTTTACTTCGCTAACGTGAACAATAATAATGAGAAC